ATACATAAAACCACATAATAATTTATATTAATTATCTTTAATTAGACTTTAGACACCATTTCAAAATTAGCATAAATCAAAGGATAAGCTAATGTAATGTTTTATTCTGTAAAAAGTAGTATTGGAAGATTTTTTTTAGCTACTTAAGTAAAAGTAGTACCACACAGTAAAGTGTAAAGTTACAAGTAAAAGTCCTTAAGTAAAATTACAACATAACATACTATACTTATGTATAAAAGGTAAAAGTACTCATACTGTCACATTTCATAAAAGTGTCAACTGATATACTGCCAGGTGAATTCATCCATAATCATACATCATAGTTTATTTATACTTTTTATTGATAATCAAAGAAATGTGGTGTAATGTATTGACTTCCAAAATGTAGTGGAGTATAAGGATCTCAAAATGCTACTTAAGTCGCCTACAGTACTGATTGTGTTATTAGTTATGATTCCACCACTGATTTAAATTAATTTTAAAATAATTCTGGGGAAATAAGCACAACAAATCTATTATGGACAAACTCAAAAGCTTTTCCATCATTAACGTATCTTTGGCACTGTACTGTACAAAAGCATAAAGTGGGAAAAAATATGAAAAGCAAGGTCAAGGAGGTAGGGACTACACAAAAAAGTCCAGATTGTGAGCCCAAACTTTTCCTTATGCAAACAGGCAATTTTAGAAGCGAAAACAATAAGATGAGTTAATTCTGAAATACATTTATTAACTAATTACAGGATTTGCAGTTAAATCAGTTAAACCTGGACAGAAACACAATGAAAGAAAATCCACTCTAACCCAGCTGATTATCACATTAAAGGGTCATTTTCCAAATGAAGACACCTTGCTTTAACTTGGAGAAACAAAAACAAACAGAACTTCTTTCTTTCTTCTCAGCTTCCTGCCTTCCCTTCATGGTTTCCAAGGTGCTACTTGGTAGGTCCTCTTCATCGGCACCTTCTCCTGCTGCTCAGGAGCACTCAGGAGCCAGGCCTGGACGGTGCTCTTCTCCTGCATCATCCCGAGACTCTTCCAGGTCCGAGCCCGCAGTGAGGGAGGCCTCTTCCGCTGCGGGGCCTGCTCTGCTTCTGAGCTGGAGGACTCCACCGTCTCGGTCTGTCGGTGCCTCCTGGCCTTGGACGCCTCTTGGACGTTTCTGTAGCTCTTCTGCTTGATGGAGGACAGGAGCCTGGCCCTGTTGCTGCTGGCCTCGGCCTCTGTAGGCTTCTCCTCATCATCGCCAGAGTTCTTGTCTTTGGTGTCCTGTGAGAAGGTCTTCTGCTGCCAAGTGATGAACTCTGACATGTAGTCCTTCAGGTGGGTAGATAAGTCTCGATGGGTCATGCTGGCCTGGCCGCTGAGCTCCACCGTGCCCTCCTTCAGCTTCTCGTAGTGGCTCTGGATGTTGTTCAGCTCTGTCAGGAAGTCTGCAGTCATGAGCTCCTGGATGGCTGTGGCTCTCCCAAGGAAGTCTGCACACACAGCCTCCTTCTTTGGCCTCCTCTGCTTTTGGAAGGTGAGAAAATGTGGCATGGCGGTGTAGTGTATGGCTCTGGCGGCGTCAAGCTTTTGATAGATGTAAACCACATCCTGATGCCCCGAGTCCATGGAGTCCTTGAGGAACTTATCAACTTGAGCCCAGTCCCTCAGAGCGAGTCTGATGTTCAACGGTGGAACGGCAAGTTGTGTGTGGTAAAAAGCAAACATCAAATACAAGCCTCCTACGCGAATCTGGTAGCTGTACGGGGGCAGGAAGTACTTCACGGCCGTAGCCAGCGTTATCCTGCAGAATCTCTTCAGCTCACCCACACGGGCAATACCTAGAAAGACATCTGAGAGGCCCATGTCCCTCCAAATGGCTGAAAACTCCTCGTACCTGACTGAGTCAGTCTGCTGGAAACGAGCGAGCAGTTGCTCCACATCTTCTGTCAGAGGATCGTAGAAGATATCACAGTAAAAAGGCCGCAAACGAGGCATCCTGTCTGCAAACAGTCAACCTCAGGTAACAGTGAAAGTGTGGAGGAGCTCTGAAATCATTCAAGGCAGGTGAGGCGCATCAGTGGTAAATTACCTGAGAACTACGCCCTCAAGTGGAGGGAGTCAATTATGGCGACTGGTCAAGCAAACTCATCAAAACGGCTGCACAGTGGATCTCCTTGGAAAACATTATTAAAATACTGTCAACTTGCACAATCAGGGTTCTGGTGGGTCACGTACAGGTATTTTTAAGGTCACAGATTAATTGATTTTTTAAAAACGTTAGACTATAAGATATGTTTTGTATGCTGGAACACTAGACTGAAAATCAACCACTAATAAGTGTCTATAACTTGTAAATAAAGCCACATCTACTACGTCACAGGGTGTGTGTTAAGAGTGAGCATGAGTTTAATTTGAAGGGTTTGTAAAGGCTTAATATATCCAGTGTTCCACAACTGGAAAAAGTTGTATAATATATAACATAAAAAATAATATCTATGATTTTATGTATTTCTATATTGGGTTTCTAAATATTGTTTGTTACAAGTCAGAAACAATAAACAATGTACAGGATACGGTAAAATTTCTGACACCAGTTGGTCAGTGCTTTTATTCTGAAAGGCACATTCTTAAAAGATTTTCCTTTGTTTTCATTTGATTTTGAAATGTGCTTTTAATCTATAAATGGACATTTAAGTCAGTGTACTATGTGACCCCCATTGGGCTCCATGCTTCACAGAGGAATATTTCCCAATTCAGATAATATCAACATAACATGGCAAAACTTAAGGTGAAAACCTACCTTGGAAAAAGAAAGGGCACTAATCACCTTTTCTACCTTAAGTTAATCCAAAACTGAATCTCAACTAATGTGAATGCAACCAATCTCTGGACGGATCCAAGTGCAGTTCAAGAGTAGCTATCTAATTAATCTAAATGAAAATATTATAGGAAACACAGGGGTCACAGGTCACTGTGAAGAATTTTATTAAGACTTAACAAAATGGGACACCTGTTTGGTCGCTTTCCTCATTTCCCGAAACATGATAAACATGCATCCGACTAATTTAATTCAAGAATTAAAATGATTTTTGCTTGAATTCAGACCAACACAGGGACTGAAAAATAAATAACTCTTTAACATTGCATCTTGGTAGCTGATTGAAAGAAGAGGGACAATTTAAAAGGAACATACAGACAGCCAGAGTAGGACGTATGACATCCTGATACTCAGACCCAAGAAATATTAAGGATGATTCTCCCAAAACTGAACTTCAAATCACTTTGCAAAAGCAGTTTATTTTTACTGCTGGAACTGATCTGTGGTTTTGCCAAAATGAAAACGTAAGGTCCCACAAGTTGGCCTTGATGACATGATTTTATGGATTTCATTTAAACCTCATTGAATGATCTCATTTTAGTATAGAGTACAGATGTGCACTTGGCATATAATGATAGAACAGTACAGCCAGGTAACAGTTCAGAACAAGCAGGTTTTCATTCTCCTGACCATTGGTGAAAAAAATATGTAGTGGCAACATCTGCAGTTTTCTTCAGTTCATTTTACTGTGACCTCAAAAGGTCAAAAGTGACAAAGGAAAAACAGAAACGCTTTAAAAAAACATCTGCTTTTGCAGAGCAACTAACAGTTGATTTCAGTAGAACTGTCCTTTAAATACTCTCTTCTGTACTTTAAAAAAAAAAACATTAGACAAATTAATGACAAAGAAGAGCAAAGGGGAGCTTTTGGTTTTAAATGGCCAGAACAAAAAAGTGAAATTGACATATAAAAGACAAAAGCTTATGGTTTCTTGGTGATGTCTCAGCCACTCCGTGTCTCCTGTGGCGCCCCCTCTGCCTCACGTGTTGCTTCCTTCCGACTACCAGCCTCCTTTGCCACCCTTCTTCTTCTTCTGTGGTGCCTTCTTGCGTGTGGCCCCCGAGGCTGCAGGTTTCTGCTGTCGAGGCGGGACCACATTGCTGGCGGGGGCTGTAGTTGAGCCGGATGCAGACCCTGGTCTGGGGGAGGTAGGGGGGCTACTGGCTGTCTTACTGGCATCCCTAGAATAGAGGAAAGAGCCAAAATCAAAAACCACTGTGGCAAAAATGTGTTCATTCTGCATCTAAAGTTTACTGATAAACCCCGATACAAGTTGAAATGTGCCGTGTGCACTGCGAGGACTTTAAAAAGGAACAGTTTGAAATACTTAGATTTTCTTGTTGAGAGTTGGATGAGATGGTTGCTAACCCTCTCACATATGGTGCATACTGGTAGGTGTATTTTTGCACTTAGGCCAGGCTAGCCGCAGGAACCTACTATGTAACTGAAACAGCATGTATTTGTGGGGGGAAATGCACTTTCATTTTCCCATATACAGTATTTATTTCATTATTTATTTGTGTTTTTTTAATAGAAGTAAACGATATAATGAAGGGTCATTTTGAAAGCTGATATTTGATATGATAACATCAAAATTAGCAGTGAGTTGCCACTGCCTCCTTGTCACAGGTGTAGAAGTGTTTCTGAGCATATGGATTTCTACTCTGGCTGAGACTCAGTTTATTTTTGGCCTCAGTAACACAAGCTTCTGCACAGCAGCTGGACACCTCCACTGAGGCTGCACTGGCAGGGAAACAAGAACAATCTCAGGTGCTTTTCCTCCATTAGCGCAGTTGATCACTAGGTTTCCATTACAGGAAATTGCACCCAGACCCCACTCGCAGGTGATGTGCATATGTGATTGTGGAGTTTACTCACAGCTCGGCTGAAGCTCCTGCCGTCGCTCCCTGTGTGCCTTTTCCTATTTGCTCCTTCTTCTTCCCCTTCTTCTTGCCTCTGTAGTAGGAACGCTCCCTCATGGGCAGCCACCGCTCCATGTCGGGGGTCGCTTTGGGGTCGCAGTTCTTGGGCAGTTTGCCTAAAAAGAAGATGAGGAGGAATCACTGAAGGAGCTCAGCTCAGCATAATAAATGAGACTGATCTGTAGTCAGTAAGTATCTCCATAATATTATCTTAAAAGCATCAATAGGAAAGACTTGCTGCAGCACATTATAAAACAATGCTAGGGGCTACTGTATCAGAGGAAATAGTGGTCACACGGATTAATGGCTTACCCTTCTTTTTCTTCCTCTTCTTTTTGATCTCGCCTTGGCTGTAAAGAAAAATCCAGACGCATTAGCATAGAGGAGGTGAAAGTGTTGCCACCTACACTCATCCTTCCCACAAACAACATGTATTTAGAGCCGATGTGGAAGACAGCGACGAGAGCTTACCCTTGTTCTTTGGGAAGATTTTCTCCTGTGACCTTAGCGGCTTTTTTCCTGACGTAGGTCGCTCCGTGGGAGTTCTCCAGCTCGTCCACGTCCACGTTGAAGGCCATCGTGTCTGCCGACGGTAGGTGTTTGCTGAGGCTGGAGAGGAATGCTAAGGACATGTTTCCCATTGGCATTTCAAATGTGTTTCAAATGACCTTCGTCTGCAACATCATAAGGTCATCCAAGAGTCTTTGTCTTGCTCTTCTGATTATTGGCTCTTGCATTATTATTGATGGATATACAATGTTTTACAGAGTCTGAATGGAAATTTAAATAAACCATATATGTTCTCAGCTATTAACATCATACTATTTAACCCTGGATTAGATTCTGGATCAGCATCTATGGTGTGGTCTTCTAGGGCTGATTTCCCAATAAAGCAACTAATCATTTTGTTTATAAAATGTCAAAAATAGTGGAGAATTATAATTTAATACATAAAATACAACAAAGATTTTCATATGTCATAGAGGCAGAAAACCCTCACATTTGAGAATTCAAAGTCAGACAATGTTTGACGTTTTGTTTGAAAAATGCCTGAAACGATGAATCGAGTACTAAAGCAGTTACTAAAATAATACTATAGGCTCTATTCATTTCAGTAGGTCAAAGGATACGATTTGGCTTTGTCCGTGTTCACCAGAGAATACGCCGAGATGAGTTGTGCCAGTGTGTGGATGTCCTTGGGGTTTTGCCTGTTTCAAGAAAAATTAAGCTTAATTGTTGTAAAAGAAGGAACTCCAACAATCTGCAGTACACAATACAGTAAACATGTCCATCACCTGATACGCTAGGTTAAAGGTTGCACATACACTTCCCAATGTGCTGCATACATACAAATCCATAACTGCTTTGCCTTCACAATGAGTTTCTCATTTTATAATTAGTGTTTTTCCTGCTCTATAAGCACCTTGTAATGTTCTTTACCAAGCTGTTTAAGAACTAGACAAACATTTGAGCTACTCGACATCCTGCTGGCAAGATGGAAGCAGGAACAGCAGCTGTGAGATACCCTCTAAGGAGAACATTATGTGTTTTCCCCCCAAATACTTCACATATGTTAAATCTGAGAGATTTTGGAGGCTGTAACTCACTTCCACAGCTGCTCCAGATCACTAATGGCTTCTTTTTTCCGTCCGTACTTCAGTTTGAAATTGGCAGCTTCTCGTACAAGTGCCAAGTGTGCAGCAGATCCGGGCTGCGGAGGAGGAAGATGAGGCTGATTACACCGTGGAAACAAACGCAGATATCACAAAGTACAAAATGTGTTGGCTTGTCTTGTCAGATTGAAGTATTACCCACAGCCTTAACTACAGATGGTTATGTCAAGATTTGGCTTGTTTTTATTTGACTCCATAGAAAAAAGTCAAAAAAAAAAAAAAAAGACAAAGAAATGCTGTAATGTTTCTGCATTGCACTTGGTACATTTGAACTCTCTGCAGGTGGCTGTTTATGTTAGCAACCCAGTTCTCTTTGTTTATTTAAACCACAATTCAAACATAAAATGCATCACCAAAAAACAGCCACTAAAGCGGTTAGGTAGGCAAACAGTAAAATGTTTGACTGGACACAGGAAGAATAACTATTGTGTTATATCTCAACTTCATCAAAACCAAACATCGGACACAAACCTGTTCAGACTGGTAGTGTTCAATAGCTTGTTTGAAAACGTCAATAGCGCTGTCAATGTCTTCTTCGTGGGAGTACATCGTTACCAGAGCGGAAATCTGAGGAGTCAATCACAAAGTTTAGATCAATGGTAGGTGACTGAAGCTAAATCAGAGTTTACACAGTTACTATTGT